TTTTTWRGRKKKTTKGGGKTTTTTTTCTACATATGTGTGTATTTACAATTTGTAATTGTGCAATGGCCTCTAGAAGCTGGTTGCTACGAGTAGTAGCTTAGTGTAGAATGTATGTAAACTTATTTGTTGTTTTTTTTTTAATGGTTTTGTTTCGAAGAGTAATATTTTTGACCAATTGTATTCCTGTCTGACATTCAAGAATTTGGRGCAACTGCCTACCAGTAACAGCAAATCACACCTCTTACAAAATGGTCCATTGGCTGCTACACCATCTCCATCCTGGTGTCACTGAGTATGCTAAGCATACTGTTTTATTAAATATTTCCAACAAAATAAAAAATATTAGTACTTGTTTAGAGACAGTTGCCTAGACAGTAACTTAGCTGAAGGACCTATTTCTTGATTTCTGCCCAGTGCAGGGATGTACTCTGTACCTTYTGGCTTTGTTCCTACCAGGCTGATGAAATGATGTTGCAGCTGCCATTAAGCTTCTGAAAATAACTTTGGTTTGGCTGCTTTGAMATAGACACCTTATAATTCAGCACACAGAGCCTTCCTTTCACTGCACAGAGTAGTTATATGTAAGCATTTAGTTCTTTTCTTCTCTCTTCCTTTCCCTATTAGTATTAGACTAATTTCTTGAACTTCTGTCATCCTGTGTCTGCAATTTATCTGTCTCACCTATCCATGATGTCACCTGTCCAGGCTGTTTGTATGGACTTTCTTGCTTTTTACTGTTTCTCTTCTCACCCATGTCTGCACATGTACAGTCTGTCCCAGCTTCTTTCTGTCTCTGCACTTCACCAGAGGACTGGTGCCTCCTCTTGTTCCATGCCTGTCCTTTTCCCATTGCACTGCCCTTGTTTCTTCCTGAAGAAAATACTCTCAATAAGCATGACTGCAGACCTGGCTTGTTTCTAGCTCTGTTGCCTTTGGCCAGACTCTCCATCCTCTGTTTTTGTTCCTCTCTACTATTTCCTTGTGTATTCTTCACAGCTGGGGATCATTCATCCTCCTGACCATGTTTGTTATCTTCTGGTTTCTTTCTCCTTAGATGCTGAGGACTGTGGGGGTTATCTCCCATAGCCAGTCCTTTTAACAAGCTGAGACAAAGGGCAGGTTCTAATGTAGCAGGGATATTAGGCTGTGATTGAGAAAAGCCCATTGGAAGTAGYTGGATTTGGTGCCAAGGGAGACCTTTTAATCCAAACCTCCATTTGAATCAGTGTTACATTCCCCAGGTCTGTTACTTTGCAAATGTTGTAGCTAYTTGAGCCCCTGATGAAAAGGGGTGGTGATCACTGACTCCACTCATCCTTCTTGTGCCTTCCAGAGACAAGAGAAATTTGTGTTGGCTGGTCAGAGAAGTGCCACGGAAGGGGGGCAGGACTTGGAAGTCCAGTAGGGCATGGAGGAGGAGTGTCTGGGGGTGAAAGAGTAGGGAGAGAGTAATTTGAAAGTCGAGTCCCTGCCTTAGTTCAGGTAAAAGCCATCAGCACTACTATSCAGAGAAATCCTGTTCCAGGATGAGAGACATGACAGACCTTTAAAATCAACCAACAACTGAGCTGCTCTTGGCTTCTCTGRCTCAGATGGGAGAAGGATCTGAGAACTGGGGTGCTATGCAATGKAAGTGGGTCTCTCTCTTGTGGGGTGGTTTGCAGAATTCCTGATGGTGCTGTCTCTGTCATGAAATCCTGTGTGCTCTAGCAAAGTGTCAAAACTCTTGAAAGCACTTCAGTCCCACTGGAAAATAAAATAGTCCTTAACTTAATGCAGCTAATGGCCCCTTTTTCTAGACAAGTACCAGGCCACTTCTGCATAGTCTGAGGTAAGTTTGAGCAGATACCACTGCAGCTACACCGACTGTATCCAACTCCTCAATCCCTGCTCGACAATAAGAAGCCAGTGTTTTCTGTAGCTGTCAGTGGTGGAGGATGCAGTTTAGATTTGAGTGTGGATGCAGTATCCATGTGCTCAGTTTGCCTCCATTAAGCCTTGCACATCCCCTCTGATGTTTCCTGTGTTTCCCTCTGCCCAGAGGGGCTGGAATTTTCCCATCTCTGGGAAGGCGTTGGCTCCTGGTGCAGTATCACCATCTGGCTGTGACCTCTGCCTTAACTGCAGCAGAAATGGTGATGCTTTGTCCATCTTCTGTCTGCAACACCAGGCTCGTGGCAAACATCCACTGCTCCCACAACCCCTCACCGAGCATAGGCCTGTTCTGACAGACACCTGGATTCTGGATTATATTCATCTATTTTGGGATAAACCTGTAATTTGTCTGTGCCCTCTCTATGGTCTGTCTTTGAGAAAGGCTCCATGTCCCTCAAGTGGTGGGTATACGTTCCACAAAACCAACAGAGGGGGTGGCAGGAAGCTTCAGCACAAGTAGCATGGTGATTAGAATCCATTTGTGGACTGGGGATCATTTGGATGTATTATTTGTCTCAATTTTGCAAGCCTCTGCCACAAGAAAACCATTGTGTATGTTCTTCTGTGCAACTGCTGAAAGCAAGGAAGCAAATCTGACCCTCAGATTGAAAAGCAAGTTACTGAAGATAAAAAGGATAAGAGCACCAGGAGGCTGACAGAAGGAACACTGCTGGGAACACTGGGCCTGGATAGAGGCAGTGTGCTCTGTGCCAGTGAGAAGCAATGCTGTGCTGAAAGCATCGAGGTCAGCGGGACTGGCTCCAGAGCTGCTGGCACTTCCCACCTCTCTCCAGGGCTGTGAGCTTTTTGTTCAGGTTGGGGTGGTGGTAATGGTGTTGAGCAGCTATTTACAAAGTCAGGAATCAGAGGAAAGGGGAGTTGTCAGCTGCCTCTGTATCTCTGCAAGTGATTCTGGAGGTAAATGTGCAACACTGCTTGACCTCCTGTGAGCAGCTGATTGGAACCCAGGGCAGGAGGCACTGATGACCAGGGCACAGAGAGCACACAGGGTCTGGCTCAATGTCTCACCAAAAAAGATTATTTACAGCAGAAACCTTCTCCCAGGTGCGACTGAAGCAAAGAGGTTTGCAGCTGGAGTAGGGAGAGTACACCATTTGTAGGCAACAGGAGGACCACTGAAACCCACTGAAGCAAGTATATGTGACTCATCAAAGAGATCAGAGTAAAAAAAGGTTTTGGAAAAGTGAAGTTTTCTTTCTATTAAGCAGCAAGCCATGGGGGTTGACCACTGGGCCAGTGCACATCTTACACAGTCCCCATGTAGCAGTGGTGAGCTTGGCCTTGAACCACAAGGCAAAGAACCCCTCTGTGGTATGTGCTAGAGGTGTTGGTACAGAACAGACATGGAGCAGACATGGCAGCTTTGGAGAATAACACCACTGACACATTCACAGATCTCTGCTGCTCTTAGCAGGCCAGACACTGCAGTGGTTTTGTAGCTGCAGGTAAATAAGTACCTCTTTAATGATGTTCAGTAGCTGCTGATGTGAACTGGGTGAGAAAGGGCTCAGCCAAGCCAAATTTAGTCTTCTTAGACAAATATTTAACAGACAGTATCTCTGTAGGACTTCACYTTGCATTAATCAGCTGTACTCAGGGAGCAGCAGCTGAGGTGGCAGCTATGGATGGTTCCTAAACTGTCCCATCCATAATAACACATTTTACAAAGCTTCTGGAAAGATGTCCCATTTTGAAACCAGAATAAACTTTTCTATGAAGTGTGGTGYATCCCTTGCAAATCAATGTATTTCAATTTACAGTCACATGGGCTCATCTTGTTTTGTATGTGACAGCTGCTAATTGTATTTGTGCTAACTCTACCTGCACATTGCAAACAGCTGGAAACCACAAAGGAGACTTGGTCACTTGTGCTGCCTCTGTATCCTCCAGCATTGTCCAGGAGGTGACCAAAGGATCCTGGTTCCACTGCAATCAATAGTGTAGTTGATTAGCAGTCACTAGCAGTGACTCATTTCACTCTGTAGTAATGAATGCCCTTCCACTCCCAATTCTCAGCAATGCCATGTCCAGCTCAGCCAGCCTCAGTGGAGAGAGGCTGTGTACAACTTGATGAGTTGTGTACGCACCATCCCTGCCTGAAATGCAGTCTGCAACGGGTGTGTGAGATCTGTCTCAACAAAGGCACAAAACAAACTGCAAAGTGCTCAGCTCCAGCACTGAACCCCCTGCAGCATGGCACAAACACAAAAACACACACAAAAACACACACACACACACACACACACACACACAAACACACACAAAAACACACACACAGACACACACACACACACAAACACACACACAGACACACACACACACACACAAACACACACACAGACACACACAAAAACACACACTCTGCTGCCTCAGTGCCTCTCCCAGGGACAGCAGAACTCTCGAGCAGTGGGCACTGCAGAGGCTCAGCCATAAACACCACATCACACCCATGTAAAAAGAGAAGAGTGTTTATTGGTTATATACTGTAACGCTGACAGTGTTTGAGCCAGGAGAGACATGCAGATAAGTGGGTGTTTATATTTGGCATGCAGACTAAGAGCACTGTGTCACTGGAAGGAGGTGAGCACCATCTGTATCCACGCATGGGCAGCATGGGGAGGAAAGCTCTGGCTTTCCTCTACTCAGCATGCTGAGACAAGGCAAGTTCTAAGAGGGTGGAACAGTGCTGATAGCTCTATTAGACACAAAGTTTGTTTTAGGGAAAAAGGCAATACTGTAACCCTGGARAATCTGCTTAACTTGGATGAACCTGTGATTATGAAAAGATTTCTTACATTATTTGTCTTCTAACTAAGCTGCCCCACCCAAATATATGTTCACAAATACAAAAAAATAGATTTATTCTTTTAAAAATACATTCCATGCAGCCTGGAGTGCTGCTTCCCCAAAGCAGGAGCTGGCACTGCACAACCCARGAGGATGATCCTTTGGGCCTTGGATCCTGACCATCGGCCACATCTGCAAACAATGGCTTCATGTTCWGTCACACACAGCCCAGCCTGGGGAGGAGCAGCGCCCTGATCGYTTCAACTGTGTGCAAGGGTGGCAGGGATGAGGACTGCTGTGTTAGAGATGGCACCAATGGGACTATTGCTTCAATCTGCAGCTGGGAAATTGCTCGTGTCAAGTGTCTCTTGAAGCACCAAGGCGCATCCCCTGCCCTGTGCTTCCTGCCTTTTCCCTTGCTGGGGTCTYGTCCACAGGAGGGCTGTGGGTGCACAGCACAGCAGCACGGGCGGGTGGCCAAACTGTCACCCCCCAGCCCTGAGGAGCTGGAGAGGCAGCTCTGCAGGCTGCAGCCGTGTTTCTGGACATGAAGGAAGCCATTCCACAAAGCAGTAAGCTGCTGGTCCCTYGGACTGGAGACAGCTCTTCCAGGGAAAGCCACTGGCTCTCCACAAGGGATCAGCAGCTGAGGTTCCTTGGAAGCAGCAAGAAGTGACAAACTTCCTCTGTACAGCAAATACATTTACAACTTTGGAATTACCCGAGGGCTCGATGCATGGCCTTGTGCATCATCAAGCCTACTGAAAAGCTTGTTATATTTATATGCTAAAATTACAAATACTTCTTCAGTGATGGCAATATTTACACATATACTCTATTTTACAGCTGTTCAAAAAAAGTGTGCAATTTGAATAAACACATTGTGTTTCCTGAAGTCATTGCTATAAGGTTAATAATACAATCAGCTCCTATTGCACTCATTGACTAGAGGGTATGGTCCCTTTCCATTCTAGGCAGGGTTTTCTTTCTCAGATTTAATCTCARCTGTGGTAAAAACAACCAGTGTGCAGTTACCAAGTGACATCTGTGTCCAGTATTTACAAGCAGTGAGACTGAGTCTAAAACAGGAGTTCAARGTATCTGCTGTAAAATATTGAGCAAATAACTGAGGCAGCTGGAGAAAGGAGAGACATCATCTATGAGAAGCACCTGAAGACAGCAGACAGTGCCAGCAGCGCTGCGTTGCTGGAGCAGTAGCTGGGGCTAAGCCAGCTGAGCAGCAGGTAAAGCCCTCCAGTTCCTTGGGCAAAGCCTGGTCCTGACTGACAGAAGGAGAAACCCAACAATTGCTGCTGGTGGTTCTTCCCTTGCACTGCAGACATGGGGCTGTGTTCTTGTGGTGAGCAGCGGGGTTGAGAAGCTGATGGGTAAGCCAGTGCTTTGTGGGTAAGCACCACGTGCTGAATCACAGGGATACAGAGATTTCTTCACCAGGACTGAAACCACTTCCCTTGGAAGGCTCTTTGGGAGCACCAAGCTAAGCCACATCCATGCCAAGGTGAGAAGGAGTAAGCAGCTGGAGATGTCCTGCCATATGTGGACCTGCATGGTGCAGCAGGATGGGGCTGGGACTGAGGAACGCCGTTCAGTCACTGCCCAGAGTGATCCTTGTCCTCAGKATGTACGTGCTGTCCAGCAGTTTGTACAAGCTGCAAGTCCTGGGCAGCAGTGACCCAGGGTGGGGGAGCCCCACAACATTGCAATTCTCTGGTTCCAGAACACCCAGCTGTGGTTSTCCCACGGTGACTGTGACTGGTACAGGTTACACAGCTGGAGAGCTGCTCAGCAGAGGTTTGGCAATGTGCAGAATCCCTGTGACATCTGAAGAGACAGGTACATGCCAAGATGCCTCCCAGCTGCTCCCAGATTAAGCAGGCAGGTACTGTGAGAGGCATGTGGGATGCCGAGGCAGCAGATTTAGTTTTGAGGGGAACATGAAAAGAAGGGGCAGAGTCAGAGGCAGCATCCTGTGCTGGGCAGGGCCAGCAGCCCCCAAAGCAGGGCAGAGCTGGGCACTGCTGGGACCTGCTGGGCAAGGAGCAGGGCACACAGAGGCAAGGGAAGTGCTGCTGCTCAGGCAATCTGTCTGGTGTTGGGTGGTGGCCATGAACCTGACACAGAGTGAGTGCTGAGCAGAGCAGGGGGCTGAGGAAGGATACAGCCATTGCACAGGACTGTTACACAGCAAAATCCACAAGGGTTTCCAGTCCTTCCTGATAAACATGGGGCAGGGGAAGACAGTTTGTAAGTCTGAATTTAGCTTCAGAATTTCACTTACTTTCATTTTTAGTTTGGAGATTGAGTTTAAAGTGTTTTCCCAGTATCTCATTCTACTAGCACTACCATGTCAATGGTAAGAGAGAGCAGCTGATGTATTTGTTTTAATATAATTTAAAGATTATTGGAGTTGCCACTCAGTACTAATTTAAAAATATTACCTTTTTGTCTTGTTATGCAACTTGACACATATGTCATSACATGTAAAAGAAGATAATAAAGGGTTAAAAATATGCACTTTGGAAAACAACCTTAAAAATTCCAAAAAGAAACTTCTTTTTCAAAAATAATTTTTCCCTTCCTCTAAACAATCTTAATAAAAAGTAAAAATCATGTCACTGAAACACATCCCTTTTGTATAAATGTTGTCATACATATTTTCAAACAGCTCTATTTTTTTTTWAAATTAATTTTCTTTTGAGAATTGACATGGGTATTTCTCAGGCCAGGGAGGAGCTGCAGCACAGGGAGATGCAGTACAGGCAATCAGATGGATCTGGTACTGCTCCTCTGGARGTGGGATATAGGAACAAGTGTGGGGTGCAACTCAGACATGGAAACTRTTGGGGTGCAGCTCTTCCCACAGCRCCTCTGACACAGATCAGGGACTGATTTGGAGCATAATCCTTGTCCCACTGCAGAGAGGGACAGGAGCAGGAAACACTGGGGGGACAGTGGTGTTCATGTAGGGGCCAGCTCAGCAACTGGGGGATGGGATGGGATGGAAAGGAAGGACTGAGCCCTGTCTGTGAGCCAGGTACAATCCCCTTGCTCAGGACAGATGCTGCTGCAGCACCTCGTGGAGCTGTGGAGACTCTGTTGGCCCAACAATGACACCAGTTGCACTCAGTGGCCTGCAGGCACTGATGGGGACACACAGCTCTGTTTGAAGCACTCTCTGAYCATTCCTGGGTCCCAGGCATGGCAGGTGCAGGGTGAGGCACAGACCAAGGCTACTGGAGAGCAGCTCAGGTCCAATCCAGCTGTCTCCACCCTGTGTGGGGAAGGAACAACGACATTCTGCTTTTCTATGAGGAAAAGCATTTGTGTTTCTTTTTCTCTTAGGGCTCAACTGCCTTGCACAAACCACAGAGTTGTTGCCTGCAGTGTGACAGACATAAAGCTTCAGGTAAATGGTCCCAGGCAGGAGGAGGTGTTGCTGCTGTGTGAGCTTGGCTCAGTGGATGATTTCTTGGTGCAGGATCTCAATGGTGATGAGCAGGTCATGGAAAGCTTGTTGCAGAGACTGACAGAGATAGGGAACCAAATCCTTCTAAACAACATTTTCTGCTCTCCTTCCCGCTCAATGTGTAAACTCGCTAGTGGGGAACAATCTCCTCTTGCCTAGAGACAAACACAGGTGCTGGAAACACARGTGCTGAGGTGACCACTACCCCAGCCAACAAAGGTGTATTAGGAAWATGCAAACTGTCCATATGAACTGAAAACTTGCAATTGTTGTGGACAGCTGTCATGGAATAGTGGATGTAGTACTGGGACACTGCTGGAATCTTGTGTGAATGCAAGTGAATAACAAAAAGTTCTCTTTGCAAAAAGAGTACCATTGTTTGGAGAGGCTAGGTAGTCAGAGTTCCCATATGGAGACAGACCTATCATCCTACAGGGAAGATTAAGATTGCAGGTACAGAGATGAGAAGTGGGAGTCCCCTGAGCAAAGCCTCTGCAGCTGCCTCTTCAGCAATGAAGAAAAATAATTSACTGGTAAAGCTCCTGTACCTTTCAAATCGCATTACAAAACTGGTTTCAGGCTGGTTGAAGCCTCTGGAGAGGTCACAAACAGGTGTGAGGCCTGTGAGTTGGTACTATCCTGCCTCTTGCTTCACCATGTTCACTGAGAAGAAGGAAATGCAGCTCATCTCCGAGATGTCCGGCAAGCTCGGGAAGCACCCTGAAAGAGAGAACCACAACATCACAGACAGACTGGCCATGACCCAAAGCTGCCCCTGCAGCATTKCTGCTCTGCAGACAAGGACTGCACTTTCCCTTGGCAACCATCCCAAATCCCCCTGGGATCACAGTCCCATGGTGGGGTGGTGGGGAGAGCAGTGACAGGATGAGTTTGACAGGAAAACAGAGGCTCTGTCAGCTCAGAGTAAGCCCAAAGCAGAGGGTCCTGGCCCTGCCTCACATAGGCTGAGCTAATGAGCTTTTTTCATGCTGCAATGGACCCATCTCCACACCCAGCATGTGGGTCCTGAAAGTGAGATGCAGAACACCTGACAACAGAGGAGCTGGAGCACACCTTGTGTCATGTTCGGGCTCTTGCTACAGTCAGTGGAGGTCTGGGCAAGACAGAACACCTAAATGATGATCTGCATACTACAGGGATGACTTTACTGAAGTTTTTATTTACTGTTGACCCAGTCTGTGCAAAGGAAGCACAGCACAGCCTCAGATACAGGAGTCTGGACCTGGCCAGATGAATGTCACTGTGGGTTACACCTTTTGATAACCTCACAAGATTATTGCCAGGTTGCCTCCTTCCTCAGCCACCAACAAGAACAGTGTCAGTTCACTACTCTCTGCTGCAAACACAATCTTTCTTTAAACACCAGTCTGCAAAGCTCAGCTGGGATGATCCTGTGGGATCTTAATTCTGTGCCACTCACCATGAGGTATGACTCTGTAGGGCACTCAGCTGCCTCTCTGCAGTCCTGCTGCTCTCAGAGCAAGATTCAGCAATGTCCAGTGACACACACTGGTGACAGGTTTGGGGTCTTAGATATTTCCTGCTATGGATGATCCATAAACAGAAAGATGCACCTTGCTTTGGGCAGCTGAACAGGCCAAGAAGGAATGCCAGGAGAAACAAGAACTCTTTTGTATAGACATAACCATGGCTGTACACCTGAGAAGTCTGCTTGGACCTCTATATTGTCAGAAGGAAGCCCCCTGTGAAGACACTGGAACACACTTTCTTTTCATATTTCAAGCTATAAGTCATAATGGCTATAATGTAGGTCATTTTCCACTCCTTTGTGTTTCCAGAAAGATGTTTTAGGTGGCAGAGCAGCAGGGATGTAGCAGCAGAGAAACACTCCTGTAGCACAGCTGCCAGCTGAAGCAGGGACTCTGCTTTTGTATCTACAAATGTTTTGTTCCATCCCTGATTGRCTCATGTATCAGAGGATGACTAGATGCAGTGCCTCTTCATCCTCAGAGAATATTCTTAGCCATAAAGCTAGCTGAAACAAGTTTATCACAGAAAATATACAGCTCTAAAAAGTGCTAACTTCAGACAGGTTTTCTCCTACAAGGGACTTTTTGGACAACTTCTCTAAGTTAAGTTACTGGGAGGTCAGTTCAGATATTGGCTTTGTGCCTTGTAACTTCCTTCCCTCACATACCTGCTCCTCTCCTTGGAGACCAGGTGGTGCAGGGGAGTTGGATTCAGGGTCCTTCAGCTCCACCTTGGTGGCTGTCCTTTTCCCCAGAGTATCCATCTGTAAGAGGTACTCAGAAGAGCCGTAATGCTTCCTTCTTGAACTGGACACAAAATCCTTGTTTTCATCCTGTGCAAAGGAAAATAAAAAGYGTTGGGACCCGGGGTCTATGAAGGGTCTGGAACAGCATGGGGTCCTAGTCCTGGGTTTGCAGTGTAAGGTACTGGCTTGAGTCCCTTTAGCAAGGAGGGACTTAAGCCACCAGATGAGCTCTGGCATGGTCTCATTTAAGTGCTACTTCATAAAGATTTTTTTTTTCAGAAATTATCCAGTAATTTTAACCCAAGTTATGGGTGCATAGTCACAAAACAGAACAGATCCCTTGGACAAAATTACTGAGGTCCAAGGAAAGATGAAACCACTGATATGGTCTGGCTGGCTGCTTAAGTAAAAGCCTCTGTGGAGTCAGCAGGAGTGAAATGATGATAGATACAGTAATGGGGTCTGGGGCAGGGGGGTGGGAGCTACCAGAGTGGCTTCTGTGTGAAGCTGCTAGAAACTTCCTTCACATCTGTCAGAGCTAATGCCAGCTGCCTCTGAGATGGACCTGCCACTGGCCAAGGCCAAGACAATCAGAGAAGGCAGCAGCAGCATCTCTGTGATAACATACAAAGAAGGAAAAAAAGTTATTGAACAGAAGTAATTGCAGCCAGGGAAGAGAGAAGTGRGAATGTGTGAGAGGAACAGCTCTGCAGACACCAAGGTGAGACAAGAGTTCTAGGTGCCAGAGCTGAGATTCCCCTGCAGCCTGGTAAAGACCTGGATGAAGCAGGCTGTGCACTGCAGCCCATGGAGGTCCACAGGAGYTTCAACCCATCTGCAGCCTGCAGAGAACCCCCACATGCAAGTGGACCCCCAAAGAAAGCTGTGGCCCTGTGAGAAGCCCATRTTGGARCAGGCTCCTGGCAGGGACCTGTGGACCTGTGAAAGAGAGAGCCCTGGAGAGCCTTTACTGGAAGGATTTATTGACCCCCTGGGGGACCCACACTGGAGCAAACAGTTCCTGAGGGACTGCACCTCATGGAAAAGTGGCCCACATTAGAGCAGCCTGTTCCTGAGGGACTGTGCCCCATAGAAAAGTGACCCATGTCGAAGCTTGGAGAACCATAGCCCGTGTCAAGGACTCACAATGGAGCTCATGGAGAACTGTCTCCTGTGGGAGGGATGGCATCCCCTGCTGAAGCAGAAACAACATGTAATGAACAGACCACAACCCACATTCCCATCTCCCTGCACTGCTGGGGATGAGGAGATAGACACTGGGAAGATGTTTTTAAGATTTGATTTTTACTTCTCATTAGTCTGCTCTGGTTTTGGCTGGTAATAATTCAATTAATTTGACCAAGTCAAGTCTATTTTACCAGTAATATGTGAGTGATCTCTCCCTACCTTTATCTCCATTCATTAACCTTTCATTCCATTTTTTCCCCCCTGTCCAGTTATGGAAGGAAGTGATAGAGAGGGGTTTTGGTGGAAGCTTGACATCCAGCCAKGGTCAACCCACCACAGATGCCTTGTACATTAGTCCCCAAAGCAGGAGAGAGAAGGGGCAAGAGGCAGAACATCCCTGGACACTGCCTGGGAGACTTTTCCAGGAGATGCTCCCRTCAGCAGAAGGGATGATGGCTTCTCTTGAAGACAAGCCTACCTTTAGGATTTTGCCAAATTAATGCAGCACACAGCCCAGTTCCAGTCATATYAATGTCAGAGGCATAAGAAAAGCCCACATTCATGTGACATCACTGTTGCTCATCTGCTCCCTGCCTGCCAATGCATTTCACTAATTTTCATCAGTCAAACATCACACCAGAGAAATACAGACTTCACTATGCAAAACACAAAGCCTAACAGAAGGACTGCTCCAGGTCTTGCATTGCCTCAGGTCTTCAGGGAGCCCGAGAAGGCTGCCAGCAGCGGAGGGAGCTGGTCCCTAGGCTGCAATACCATCATCCATCATCCATCCTGCTCCCTGGGGCTCCCAAAGCAGCATTCTGACAAGCTGGTGCTTCTGCAGCACAGAGCTGCATTACAAAGAGCCGACACCTCCTCAAGTTCCATTACAGGACCTTTGCCCGCATCAGCAATACACAAAGGGAAGGTTGCAACGGAAGAGATGAAGATGKATTTTGGCAAACAGCACAGATACTGCTTAATAAGATTCTTAAGGGACTGTCAGACTGTGGGTGGTGGAGCTCGAAAGAGGGGACAGTGATACCTTCATAGGACAGCTCAGTGCCCAGCCTTCTGCCAGAGAAAACAGTGACAACTTTAACTGAAACACAGATCCCAGCAGAAACAAGCTGCTGTGATATGAGGCATATTATAAGCCTGAAGATACCCTTCAAAGGGTTTTAAACTGTATACAACAATTTAAGTTGTTGTATACATATACAATTTGCTCTATCTATCTGCAGTTTTTTAGGTTAACGTCATGCTCCTCACTTACAAACTAAAAGTACACTTAATCTATGACCAAGTAGTCAGGTTTGTGACTGCGTGGTACTAAAGGTGATTTTATTGCAAAGTATGATGCAGAGAGAGATCCTGAGCTCAGTCCTGTGTGAACTAACCATGTGGTCATCTCCTGACACAGGCAAGGCTGGAAGCCAGCTAATCCTGGGTATATTTGGGCAGAGGCAGAGATCAGGTTGCTCTGTCAGGTACACCTCAGCTGCTGTGAAGCTACACTGCATAGCTGGCAAATTTGATCTGACAGGGACCTTGAGAGCACCTGCAGAACGCACTGCAGAGCTACATTCCACTCTAGTGAGCTGCCAGGAGGAAGATTGAAAAGAAATCCATGAGTGCCCACTGTTTAGGGCTCCATGACCAACCACACATGAACCCAGCAGTAAGCAGAGATCACTTCAGTTGTGAGAGTCAAGGATGTGGGTGCTGTGAATTGAAACTCCTGGGATAAAGGACACCCTAGGAATGGATCTCTCATCTCCCAAGCAYGTAAACTGCTGTTATGCAGAAGGACAACTTCAATCATATTAGCTCTGCTTGGATTCATGAATGAGCAGCACAGATTACCTGTGAGCCACCCTGGCCAGGCAGACAATGTATTCTCAGTTTCCAATGTAGCTGGAAGGCCAGCCTGTGTTTTCTAACACCCAGCAACAGACTCTCTGCAAAGCTAAAAGCAAATTCTTCTCAAGCTAAAAGCCAGAGAAGTGGAAGAGAGGTTTTGAAAATGTAAAACTCCTTGCGTATGTCCACCAGTTCATCTTTGTCAATGCTGAGGTCATTCAGTTATGAATCTATCCCCTCTGCCACCGGCCCTGTCAGATTATCCAGCTGGGTTCCTCCTGTAGACTGGCAATAGCAGCAGCTACTCAGAGGTGTTAGGAGAGGCAGGAGCTGCAGCAGTGTGGGGTTTAATGGCCAGAAGAGTTCTTGCTGCTAGGGAGTTCACTGGAAATCTGCCCGTCTGCAGCTCCAGGGGCATGCACATCTCACCAGACCAGCTGGCTGCATGTGTCACTGCTTGGAGGGACTCACCTCACTGGTACTAGTCTAAGGAACAGAAAAAGAGCACAGCTRTCCTTGTGGCTCTTGCTCCTTTTCAAGTGRAATGCTGACACAGAGCAAGRAGGGAGCAGCTTTGTGTTACCAGCYACCATCCATTAGGGGATGCCCACGAAGCACTTCCAGACCAGAGTGGGGTTTCACATGAGAAAACCATGAAGCTTTTACCAAAAAGAGCTCTATCTAGCTCTATGGCTGCCATTAGAGCTACAACTTTGCCTCAGTCACAACCCCACTCAAATCTGCTCATTTCCATAATTTTTTCCTTGCTATTCCAAATTGAAAGTGCCACACAAAGACACTCTGAAAAGCACTACATCCTACTTAAGCTGTGACTATGTCTTCTCCAATGCTACTATGCAGTTATTCATATARCATTACAAAACCCAAGCAGATGGCTCTCATTTCAATAAGGCTAAATCTGGTAATTCACATACGAGAACGTTGTGGGCACTGTGAATTGTAAATTCACYGAAGAAAGACAGCAGGAGCTGGGAGAGGCAGCACTTAGGAAATAAGCTCTAAGAATTTCAAATCATGCATCCTACAACTAATAGCAACTTGGAAAACCTCATCAACTSAAAGAGTGTTGAACACAGAATACTTACAGGTAGCGTGTTCCGCTGCCAAGCAGCAGCTGCTGTAGKTTCACTTGCATAGCTCCTGCGTGTTAGCAGTTCAGATGCACTTAAGTTACTTTTGGTCCTTCGGGACCCCAGTTCAGGGGCGCTCCAAGAATTAGCAGCGGCATTCGTCCTTGATGAAGTCTGCTCCAGGGAGTCTGATTTTGGACTACTCCCTTCCAYTTCTAAAAGGTCCACTGACGACCTACACAAGTTTGTGGCACTGGAAGATGCACTTTTCTCCACTTTGGTTTGAGAGTCCTCCAGGGAATGTAGACCTTGTCTTGTTCTCCAGGAACTTCTCACAGTGACATGCTTTGTTTCGGATGAAGCTGCATCTGATGAGCCATGGCTCTTCCAGCTGATTGTCTCTGCAGGTGTCTCACTGTTCCTCTCTGKCAGTTCAGAAGTCTTTAGCATAATGCTGCTTCTCGAGACCACTGTTTCAGCTTTACTTCTCGGCGCTGCCTCTCCACTTCTGTCAGTCTCAGATGATTTCAGAGCACTTTTATTAATCGAGATCTCAAAGGGTGAAGGGACATTGTTTGTTACTGATGTTGAAGGCTCATTTGAAGCAACCCTGATGTTGCTGGTGGTAACATGCCTTTCCTTTGCTGCTGTATCTGCACTGGTCCTTGGAGCTGTTGGCTCAGAAGGAAAGATTGTGATGCTGCTTGTCATTTTATTTGTTACCATTTTTAAAACAGATTTCTGTTTTTCTGACTCTGCCTCTGGAACAGTCTCTCCCATGACTGCCTTCATATCYTTCTCAATAATTGCAGGTTTAATGATGGCTTTTGATCTCAGAGCTTCTCTTGGGCTGAACGATCTTCTGGATTTCAGTCCTTCAGTGCTGGCATCTGAAGGTTTTGTGCACTTGGTAGAGTCTTCATCATTCACAGTGCTTCTGTCATTTTCTAAAAGTGATGCTCTAAAAACTCCCCTYGAATTGGAGAACTGCTTGGAACTGACTTTCTTTCTTGTCTCAAAATCTGATTGAGTGGTTGTTTTTTTGCCTCTTCCTGATTCTTCATCTGAATTAAGTTTTTCCTGGTTACTCTGGATGGTTTTGGAGTCAGTTTTTAAACCGGTATTTATGTGATCGGTTGCTGAACTTGAGGACTGATCTGTGTCTGCTTTATCAAGACCTGTGAGAATCTGCAGAATGTCTTCCTGACTCCTGGAGTGATGGGAACGCTTTGTAAGCATTGAAAGTTTCACACTTTGAAGTGATGTGTCTGCAACTTCTTTTTCCTGGGAGGTTACTGCCCTTTTAGCCCTCCCCTCTGAGGGCTGTCTGTGTGATGCAGCAAAAGTGCTYGCTGCTTCTACTTTAGAGCCAGCAGAGTCTGAGGCTGACACACTGGAGGACATGTGGTACCTGTATGCTGAAGCTGTGCCATTGGAAGAGGTGTGGTTACCTCTTGTGAGTTGTGTGTCCCCCGAGCAGTCACTGACTTCAGCCTGATTTGTTTTCAGCTTCTCAGCCAAAGAAGCCGTTGATTCTCCCTTGCTTGACTTTTCATCCCGTGTGTCAGCACCATTTTGGCAGTTACCACGGAGCACCTGAGATGCCTTTTCAGCCTTGGATCTCAGGCCTGTGTCACCACCAGGTTTAGAAGGTGCTTTCCAAGACTTCTGCTCCTGTGCAGCAGGAGGATATCGGCTGAGGACAGACGGCTGCTCTTTGGATCTCTTCCCCTCATTCTGCATGATGCAGCCTTCCTTCTGACTAGAAGAAATAGTGGAAACTAAAGATTTCTCTTCCTGTCTTCTTGTTTCTGTGACAGCAGTGTCTGAAAGGGTAGATGCACCAGATGCTTTCCCTGCTTTTCTGTTCATTAAGCTTGGACTGGGCACTTGCTTACCACTATGGCTGTAGCTGTCATTACTGACAGAGAAATCTCTGTTCCGTGCTCTTTCCCGGCGCTGCTGTGGTGAGAGCTCCCTTGGCTTGTGCTTAGCAGCTGCCAAATCAGTCATGATACCTCTGTATTTAGGTCGGTCATGTTTTCCTCTGCTAGAAAAGCTTGTATCTTCATTTTCAACTTCTCCATTCTCCAGATCTTTTTGTTTCTTTATTTGCTTTTTTATTTCTTCTAGCTGACCTGTTAAGAGTTTGTTTTTATTCTGTTCACTCAAGTAACTGTCTTGAAGATCATTGTTTTTGGCTCTCATTTTTTTAAGTTCTTCTTCTAAAGATTCAAAATGTTTGATCTGAGTTTTAAGTTTCTCAATTTCTTGGGTGAGATCTTTCACTTTGTTGTCTTCCTGGTTTTTATTCTTTTGGTTTTCTGATTTATTCCTGGTTTCATTTTCTACATGTTTCAGGTAATCCACACTTCCCTTCCTCCTGGTCTCCTTAGAAGGCAGTGCAGAAGTCAAGTCATCTTCAATTCTCAAATCATTTCTGTCCAGGAGATTGTTGGATGACCTTTCTAGCAAATTGGATGCATTTCTAGTTTGATCTGCCCTATTTAATTTATTGTTTTGTTCTAGTTTCTGTGTTAGTTCCTGGATTATTTTTTCATTTTGCTTTTCTCTTTCATTGAAATGTTTTCTTTCTGTGATAAAGCTCATGGCTAAGGATTTCAGCTTTTCTAACTCACCCGTTAAGGTCTGCTCAGTTTTATCCAGCCTGTCCTCAGATGATTCCAGTTCTTTCACTTTCACTCTAAGTATTTCTAATTCTGTAGATATYTTTTTGGTCAAGTTCTTTTCTTCATTGAGGCTAAGACACAGCTGTGTACAGTCATTCTTGCTCCTGCTGAAGGCCTCCTCCAGCTTCTCYAGATCTGCCATTCTCCTCTGAAGAATCTCAATTTCTGACTTCAGATCTCGAGTGAGGCTCTCCTCCTCTTCAAGTTTTTCTTTCATTAATCTGCAAAGCTCTTCAGCCTTCCTAATTTCTTCATCCTTGCCTTCAATCTTCAGCACTCTTTTCCTCAGGGCTTCAATGTCAGCCAGCATGCTGGAGTTGCTGCCTTCTGCCTGGATAACTTTGTCCTGGAGGTCAAGCAGCTCATCCTCTGCTTTCTGCAGATTTTTAGTTGCTTCCTCCAGCTCATCAAGGCGGCGACTAAGGCTCTGCAATTTGAAACGTAGGTGTCGATTTGAGGTTTCCTTGTAACCTGTACATTCTGCCATGGTTATTTTATTCCTTTTAGAATAAAGCTTTTCTTAGTCTGGGTGAATGGTATACACCTTGTGTATTCCTGGTATGTTATTGTTCCTTTGAGCAGAGGCAATCTCACCCTGAAAGAAAAAATGCTCAAAATCAATATAAGAGCTCAGATTATAAGTATCCTCACTGTTTAAGTTAGACTATAAATGTTTATATAAATAACYTTTTAATTAACCACATTTCTGAGTACTAAATTAGGTGAAATGAAATTGCAGAGAARAGCCACAGCCCATTTATTTTGGTTATACAGGGTTTCCCAAAACAGCCTGTTCCCCATAGCTGAGGGCAGGAAGTGTCCTCTGCTGATCTGTACAGTTGGTTTGTGCACACCCAGTGGTCCACAGTCAGTGCAGCTGCTCACGTGTGAGATCCCAGGCTAGAGGGCCACATTTATGCAGGACTCAGGTCCCTGCACATGGACATGCCCATGCAGCAGACACCTCTCTTTTCAGCACTGCACCAATCTCCTGAAGATGCCTTGGTTTCGAAGATTTAGGAACTATAAACAGAATTAGAAAAATGCAAACTMCAGCCATATGGTAACCACTGAGGATGGGGCAAGCCTTCCGCACTGGCTTGCAGATGGATGGGATTGAGAGCTTCTGACATTCGACACAGCCAGTTTTTTTCCAGCATCTCAGGCTGCTCRGCAGCAATCTTAATCTGGGATGTATGCACATCACAAGGACAMTCTGCCAGTGGAGTTTCAAGTTTCTGTCTCCCATTTTAAAAGCTGTTGTTGCCCTCAGCTGCCACCCACTCACCCACCCTGGAGATGAGCAGGGCGCACACTGACACACTCAATGTGAACTCTTCCCAGCTCAGCTCAGAGCTGGCAGTGTGTTTTTTAAACAGCCCCTCTGTACTTGGAGRGAGGAGCAGGAAGCAGCCCCTGGGCAGACCAGAATGGCCACTGGGAGGATCTGAAGTCCCCTTCTGGCACTCAGCATTAGCACCATCCTGTCCTAGGCCTGAAACATGGCCCAAAGCATGAGAGGGCTACTGCAGACCTGAGGGGAGGGAGGGTGACTGCAGCTCTTCGATCCGCACCCTTGCTCAGGCAGTCTGTCTTGGAATGGGACTCGACCTCCAGAATTTTTGTGGTGCTCTCCRCAGAAGAAACACCCAGGAGTTTCCTATTGCACAGTGCCAAGAAGTGATGAGCAGGATGTGGGCAGGGGGCCCAGGCTGCAGACAGGCACATGCCATGCAGGCTGTCCTGGTGCACCCTGGGCACAACGTGATCCGTCTCCTGAAGGACCTCCCTCACTCTTGGGGAGTTACCATCCTGTGGTTAGTCTAAAGCTCTTCCAGCCCCTGAAAGGAGCACCACAAACAGTACCTGGAGAGGAGCCTTGGCATCCTGTGTGCAGCAGTGCACCCAGCCTTGGCCACATGCCTGTCCCCTCCCTTACCACCATGGCCATGTCCTGCTCCTGGACTACCTTCCCTCATGTTRTCCACACACCATCGAGGCCACTGTACCTGCCTGCAGGCTGGAAAGGCTGCTCAGACCCCAGCAGAACCTCATCAGAAATGCCACTGGATGAGCATAGGAAAGGCCACAGCAAGCAGCTTCACAGTGCTCTGAAAACAAAGCCCTGTCCCTAGCAGGCCTGGGAGCTGGCAGTTAATGGTTAACCCAACACCAGCTACTGGCTGGGAAGTGAGAGCAGCCTCGTCCCCAGAGGGATGCAGGGCTGGTGTGTGGTGTTGGATGTGGTGTTGGTCTAACACTGCCACAGGGTCCAGACAGGCTGTGGGACCTGTCCACAGAGGCACTCAGAGTTGTACCAGAGATGGCTCTGGAACTTCCCAACACACCTCCCCAGCTGACATCATTTACACTGTCAGAGGTGAAAGAGGCTCAGTCTAATTAGTTTAATGAGGCAAAGGTGATGTAAAGCAACATCTACCAAAAAAAAGAGAAATGATCTGTAAGAAATCTCCTAGATGAAGGCCCTTTAACTTCCGGGCATAACCAGAAATAACATCAGTGCTTGGAGACAGAACCAGACCAAATTAGTATTACAAATAAAGCTTACATTTATAAGGTTGAGGGGAATTGGCCAATACAAAATATTATCTCAGGTAGTGACTGCTTTGAGGTCATGATTTCAGTTAGGGGTTGGACCAGAGAACTCAAGCGGATCTCCAACCTAAACTACTGTGGCTGTTCATGACTGTTTTTCTCCAATCTGTCAATGATATTAAAGTATCAGAAGAAATGGTACAGGATTCAAACACTGGGACTATTACTAATGTTGTTGATGGATATTTAAAAAGGAGCTGTTAAATAAATCTAGTAAAGATTGTAAATGTACTGAACAACCTGATACGAATGTATGGACTCCATATTTCTCTCTATTTTGGAAAAGTGAGCAGTTCTCAGCCTACCTCGATTTTACAATTTTAATGAAAAAACAGAACATCAAAACCCCAAACCAACAAAAAGAAACAAACCAAAACAAAAAACCCAAACCCCAAAGAAACCCCAACAAAACAAACAAAAAACCAAAACCAACCAAACAAAAAAGCCCAACCCCCCCAACTAAACAAAAAGCCCAAACAACAACAACCCCAAAAACAACCCAAAACAAACAAAAAAAAAACCACAGGAAGAAAAGAGGATGATAATTTTCATGAATAGCAAGTAAACTGTGGCAGTGGCAAATGTAATAGGGAGAGTTCAGTCTCACAGAGCCATCTGAGTCACCTAAAAAGTCAGATTAASGACTCCAGCAGGCTCTATTCCTGGACACACTGAAAAGGCTCARTGGTCACAGCAGCAGCTGATGTGCTCCTGCAGCCCAGGGACAGTTCCTTTTGGTTTTACCAGAGGAAATACTGAGCAGAAGGACAACAGAAGGGATGACATTATTTTATATGTGGTACACACCTATATATTTACACACCCAAAACTGATGCATCTCACTTTGCTTAAATATGGAGATACTTACAATATGTTCTAGAGTCTTCTAGATTCAAAGAGAAAAAAGATGCTCAGCTGTCTTCACTGACCTTGCCAGGGAAACAGGACCTTGTACACAAGAACTCCTGCCTCACTGACAGCAAAGGGAGCTCCGGCATTGGCTCAGACACAGAATATCTGATGCCACTCTTTCTCCAGAGGCCATGCATCAAGAACATGAACTGAAAGCTGAGGAAAATTCTGGAARAGCTCAGAAAAGCTGTCAGGTATGCTTCTTTACTCTTTAAAATGTTAAGACCTGATTTCACTTCAGAAAGGGCAATCCTACATTAAGCCAAGAAGCACAATAGCATCCCTTTGGGTTTAAGCTGTTGAAATATTGTTCTTCAAATGAGACACGTAGGAAGCCTGGGGAGTCTCCAACTACCTGTTACTCAAATAAAATATCAAGGCAAAATATGTGGTCATTAACAACCTACCGGGAAGAAAGATTTTGTCTGATCTAAAAGGTTCTTCATTAGAGCACATGGAGCTAAGCCCTAATTTCACATTTTTACCAAATCAAAGCAGTAATGTAGTACCAAACACTGCAGTGAATTTACCTGGATTCACCATTTAAATTACTCATTCTGATTCTACTTTTCTCYACAGATTTGTCATTGAGTTTTCTGAACTTCCTCAACAAGTGTGCGTATCTCCTAACTACATTTATATTTAGCATTRTCAGTTGCCTGCTCCCACTGTTTARTACAGACTGCCTTTGAGGGCTTTTCTGACTCTGCATGGTTTTGGCTACAGCATCCTGTTAAACAGCTGCAAGAATTCAGTGTTCAAGACATCACTAGAGTCATAACTCTCAATTACCCTTTATGTTCATAAWTTTTTTTTTCTGTACACTCACTTTTGCTCATTATATCCAATCTAATGAAAATGTTTCTTTAGCAGCATCATTGGATATTACTTCCCCTGGAACTACTTTATCTTGCCTGCATAAAAGACACACAGCTCACAGCTGTGAACAGAGGAAAAAAGAACTCYAGCTAGAAACATTTGCATTAGCTAAACACTTTATGAATTGGGAAATAAGAATCATCTATTTCAGGACCAGCAATTAAATTACTACTATGTGAGACCTACTCACATCATCCCTGCCAGTTCCTCACGCCCACGATGGTGTTCCTCTCCAGATGCACAGAAGCATCTTACCCTACACATCATCTTCCTTGYCCTGATTTGGTTGTTGGGATGAGTCCCACAAGCACCCACTGCTCTTGGTTTTGGGATGTCCCCAAAACGTTCTTGTAGAAAAATAACTGTTGGAACCAACTCCTACGTGCTTTCTGTTGTGCTAAGATAAAAATGCAGCCAGCTGCCATACACGTCTGTTGAGTACTAGGAGACACATCTCTCACAAGCACATTTTGCATTTCATCTTTGGTTTTTTAAATCTTTTTGCTTGCACTTTTATACTGATCATGCAACATCCCTCACTGTGGTTGGGTGAGCCTGAGCTCCCACTGATGGCACTGCTGGTCTGCCACAGCACACGTCATCACAGCAGATATCCAGTCTTAAAGAAGAAGGAGAATTATTAATGGCTTAGTCTGCAGCCTCTTTTTACTAATTTATTTGCTTGCTCTTGAAGTTGTCAGGGTTTCCCATRGACTCTGGAGAGCAGCACTAATCATAGGCAATAGAAAATCAATAGATTCAAGCTATAATCAGAGAACAGAAGAGCAATTTTCCTTATTGGAGCTCGAGTCCTTGGGATCCTCTATGCTGTGAAACCACACAGGCTGAGGTTTGCATTCCTTAGCTGACAGATGGTCCATGGGTTCACATGAGGAGCAGAGCAGGGTTATTGTCCATGCTCTTATGGATGGAACGTATATCTGGTACTACTCCCTCCACTTCCCCAAATGATGGGGTGAACTTAGAACCCCCTGTTCTRTTTTCTGCTAAATTATTATTCAGAATATCCATGGGAATTGTATTTTTGCCCTGAACACAATGCTAGGAGTGTTTGGACACATCTGAGGAAATGGAGCCTTAGGCAATGTGAGTCTCCAGACTATGTATTCAAATTGCATTGGGAGGCTGAGGGTCCCTTCAGGCACCAGGACAGCTCTGGGGATGTAC